CGTGAGTGTGTGTGAGTGAGCGCGTGTGTGTGTGTGTGTGTGTGCGTATTTTCCTCCGTATTCTCACTATATCAGACTGTATGAGCCATAAAACCTGATGCATCAAATATGATACTCAACAGAAAAACATTGAACTCAACATTTTATTATTTTTTTTTGCCTAAAGGTTAAATGTAATAAAATGCTACAATGGCAGTGCAAATGCCTTCATTAAGAAACCCATTTAGTGTAAGTTTGAGATGGACACAGTACTCCAGTACTCAGTTGAGAGACGAGAACACATTTCTTGATTCTGCTGAAGAGTCAAATGCTGAGGCGCTTTCAGAGCGTGACGACGCGACACTAACTGCACCAGTGAAGGGCAGAGGAGCCACACCGACGTCTGTAATGCGTTTCTGACTCTTTCAGGCTGTTGCTGTGGGACTGTGATGAGCGCTCGTACAGTTACTACATCGAGGTGTCCACCAACCAGCAGCAGTGGACCAAAGTGCTGGACCGGACCAAAGTGGCCTGCCGGTGAGCAGCGTCTCTGCACCACAACACACACTCACACTGACAATTAGTGTTGATTATTAAATGTGATTTTCCGTTAAATTTAGATTTCAGTAAAAATGTAATTTTTAAAGAGTGCATGGGTTTCTCTTTAACGTGACGCTCTCTCTGACCCATCAGATCCTGGCAGGTGCTCAGCTTTGACAAGCATGCGGCGGCGTTCGTTCGGATCGTGGGAACTCACAACACTGCCAATGAGGTGAGAGCGGCGTGTGGAGTAACTCGGCACAATCCAAGCGTCTGCGGCCTCTGACCTCCTTCCCATGATTCCTGCAGGTCTTTCACTGTGTGCACTTCGAGTGTCCCGCGCAGCTGAACTCTGAGGGCAGCCCAGGACCCGCTCCGTCCCATCAGACGAGTCCGAGTCACGGGTGATGCTCCTCAGGAGGTCCTGCTGACTGCAGATCACACACTCTTCATCACCATCATCACACCTTCACATTCTGAATAACCCCATTTGCTTCATTTGCATTGCCCAGGTTGTAATGGTTGATTCTGTTGTTTTATGTGTTATTTATTAGATTGTTTGCTTATTGTAAATGTCAGTTGATCTGAAGCATATTTATTCAAATAAGAACTTTTCTCTTGTAATATATTCAGTTTTGGCGATGGCGTTGCACTATAGCATTGGTAGTGGACTGAAACACTTATTTTTAATTAGAGTTTCAGTTAGATCCATCCAAACTATTATTAATCATCGTATCTGATCCCAACTGAATCCAAGTATACGTGATATTTTACTCCGCTCAGTGTTGTACTTCTAGCCCTTTTTATGTATGGTGGCAAACACACTAGAAATAATAGTTTGATGCTGAGCTGTCTGAACGTCACTGGTCTTCCAGAATCTGTGTGTGTGGTCTGGGCTCTGATGTTGCTCGGGACACACAAACACGGTTTGTAAGTCTGTAAATAGGCTCGCTCATTTTGAAGCTGTGCGTCTTTCTCTGGTTTTGTATCTGCTGAACTCAAAGTGTTGGTTTCCTAATGTGCTCGCTAATGATTTACAATATTTTGAGTTTAGCAAGTGGCTGGCAACCCCCTGTACTGTGTTGATCAGTCTACACTGAGTCAGACTTTAGGGCAGATTCACCAAGACTGGACTTGCACCTGATTCAAGCGCTGTTTCTTCCATGAGCTCAGTTCGCTGAAGGAATCCTGTAGATCACGCAACAGCATAAACCCCCAGAAAATCTGCACTAATAGCAGTTTGCAGCAGCCGAATAACTACTTCTCTTACAAATTTTGAGAAATCTGGACTTTTAGCACACAAGCCACAGAATGAAAAGAAATAAAATAAGTAATTGTGACTTTATCTCAGAGTTCACACTTTTTTACTTGCCATTCTAGGTTTATGTGTCTCAATTCTACATTTTTTTTTTCTCTTTCAGTTAGGAGGAAAAAGTCGGAACTGTGAGATGGTAACTTGCAAATGATCAATGTAGCTGAACTTGCAATTCTGAGAAGATAGAATTTTGAGTCAGAATTGTGAGAGAAAAAATTGCAATTACCGTTTTTTATTCTGTAGCAGAAACAAAATAAATGCAGAATTGCTAGAACTTAGAATTCTGAGTTTCCATCTCGTTTAATCTACATACAGATTCAAGTCTTTTGTTAAAGTGAGATTTACTTTTTGTGTATTTGTGCATTTATGAATGTAAAATTTTCCAATAAACAAAAGTAAATCTATACAAAAACATTGTCACTGTAAAACACAAAAACGAATATAAGAAAGAAAAATCAAATAATACATTTTGAATAATTGGAGCATTAATATTACTCCAAAAGGATTGACTAAAAGGATGAACAGACTTAGTTGTAGGGCAAAGATTCACAAAAAGAGCAGGATGCCTCAATTATATTTTTACATTTTTGAAAGAAATGCTTAACGGTAAAATATGTGAATAATTTTATAAGCGATTTCAGTATGAGTGAAATATTAAGTGCCATTAAAATCAGACAGACTTAAGTCGTTTTGTAATTGGTGACTTGTAATGAAGTCATTTTTTGCTGTAAGGTGTCTGTACTTTTACTCAAGTATGGTTTTCAGGTACTCCTTACACCTCTGGGTATCGGTTCAGTAATAGTATCGAGATATTTTAGTCAGGTATCGTATCGAAGTCAAAATGTTGGTATTGTGACAACACTAGGTGGGAGTAGAGAGGGCAGGGAACCAACAGCTCCAAACTCAATCATTTTCAGTTTTCAGAAACTCACTCTCCGAGGCGGGAGTGTGGCGGATCTTCTTTCCATCCCCTCGCATCCAGCATAACTCCCACGACGACGGACTCTGGTCAGACTTGAGAGCCTTGGGCTCTGGGACGATGCTACTTTTTAAGTAGCTCTTGTCAGGGGCGGATTTAGTGATTTGGGGGCCCCAGGCAAAATATAGGAATGGGTCCTATACACCCTAACCCTAACCCATTTACCTGGATCAGCCTTGAGGTTCCTTTTTTGTTGTGATGCTTGCTGCTGCACAATGGTGCCCCACAGCTGTGTCCAATGTTTCTACATTTTTCATGTACATGTTATAATGGCTTTCTTTCATGCTGTAGACCACGAAATAGCAATTGATTTACAGTTTTCACAAAAACAAAATAAATTATAAAATGATAAACCTCACAATTGAGCCTTTAAACCATTTTTTAAGAAAGATGAGTCGGAAGTATAAATTATTATATTAATTTAAAACGGGGTTATGTGGGTGGATTTTTGCATTGGTCTGAACAAAAACTGCAGATGGGATTATTGAAAATGCACATTGATTCTCTGCCAGTAGGAAGCGATAGCATGCAGATGGGGGCCACTTAAGGCAATGATACGGCACTGGTGGCCTTCTTATGGCCCATACAAAATGGATGTAAGTCTGAAGTGGCCCACATGTAAAATAGCAAAAATGGCCCAATTTTTTTTCAAATCACATGTGGTCCTCTGTAGGCAAAGATGTGGCGTTCACGGCAATGTGTACTCTGAATGTGACCCTAAGGTGGCCCATGTGGTAAATAGTGAATATGGCCCAAATAGTGCCAAGTGGTCCACCTTTTGCCAAATGTGGCACAATCGACAAAGGCTAATCAGGGTGTAAACCAAATGTGGTCCACATATGTTTCAGCAAAGTGTTACTGATAAATCCCCTGTCATGTTTGTACTGGCTACTGTATACAGGCCACCAGGGCACGATACAGACTTTATTAAAGAATTTGCTGATTTTATATCCGAGTTAGTGCTGGCTGCAGATAAAGTTTTAATTGTTGGTGATTTTAATATCCATGTTGATAATGAAAAAGATGCATTGGGATCAGCATTCATAGACATTCTGAACTCTATTGGAGTTAGACAACACGTGTCAGGACCTACTCATTGTCAAAATCATACTCTAGATTTAATACTGTCACATGGAATTGATGTTGATGGTGTTGAAATTCTGCAGCAGAGCGATGATATCTCAGATCATTATCTAGTCTTGTGCAAACTTCATATAGCTAAAAGTGTAAATTTTATCATTGTTACAAGTATGGTAGAACCATCACTTCTACCACAAAAGACTGCTTTGTAAGTAATCTTCCTGATTTATCCCAATAGCCCGGAAAATGGAGCGCAGCTGGAGGAAAACCAAACTAGAGGTATTTCGTATTGCTTGGCGGGAAAGTAACCTATCCTAAAGAAAAACATTAAAAACTGCTAGATCTGATTACTTTTCATCTCTTTTAGAAAAAAATAAACATAACCCCAAGTATTTATTCAATACAGTGGCTAAATTAATGAAAAATAAAGCATCAACAGGTGTTGACATTTCCCAACAGCACAGCAGTAATGACTTTATGAACTACTTTACTTCCAAGATCGATACTATTAAGGAAAACTTGAAATCGCATCATATGACCCCTTTAATGATTTTCTGAGTATCTGTAAAATGTAAAAACGGCTTAACTTTTGCGATTTGACGTTGATAAAAGAAGCAAGACCGAACCACAGAACTAATTTGTTTATCCATTTTAAGCTCATTGTCAATTTGGATGCCCAGATTTTTGACACACAATCTCATATTTGATTCAAACTTTTTTAGTTCAGTTTTAAGGACTGCCATAGCAGATGCTGACCCAAATGGAATGGAATGATTTCCGTCTTAGATTCATTAAGATGCAGAAAAGTTGAGGACATCCACTTCGTGAGATCTTGAAGACAGGATGTCAGGGTTTCTAAAGCCTTTGCATTTCGTTTTTTAATTGGCAAATTTGCTTAAACAATGTCTAAATAGCTTTTTGGATTTTTGTTAACATTATTCAACATTTTAAGATCATTGTCAATTTGGATGCCCAGATTTTTGACACACAATCTCATATTTGATTCAAACTTTTTTAGTTCAGTTTTAAGGACTGCCATAGCAGATGCTGACCCAAATGGAATGGAATGATTTCCGTCTTAGATTCATTAAGATGCAGAAAAGTTGAGGACATCCACTTCGTGAGATCTTGAAGACAGGATGTCAGGGTTTCTAAAGCCTTTGCATTTCGTTTTTTAATTGGCATGTATATTTGTGTGTCATCAGCGTAGCAACGAAACGATATCCCATGTTTCGCAAGAATATCGCATAAAGGTATCATACACTCTAAAAAATGCTGGGTTGTTTCAACCCAACTTTGGGTCAAATATGGACTAACCCAACCAATATTACAGCATTTTTTAGAGTGTATATAGAGAGAATAAGATGGGAGTTAAAATGGATCCCTGCGGAACTCCGCAAGCAAGATGCACCGTGGAAGAAGTGAAATTATCAATGTTAACTGAGAAAGAACGGTTAGTCAAATAAGATATAAACCATTTTAGAACATTTCCCTGCAGACTGATGCAGTGTTCTAAATGGGAAATAAGAATAGAGTGATTAATAGTATCAAACGCTGCTGATAGATCGAGAAGTATGAGAACCACAGAATCGCCAGAGTCGACTGATAGATAGATGTCATTTAATACTTTAAGAAGAGCTGTTTCGGTGCTGTGCTGGATTCTAAAGCCTGACTGAAATGTATTGAGAATAGAATTACTACACATAAAGTGATGTAATTGTATAGAGACCACTTTTTCTAAAATTTTTGCCATAAAAGGCAGATTTGAAATAGGTCTAAAATTAAGACAATAAAGCTGGATCTAAATTCCCTTTTTTTAGTTGAGGTCTGACTGTTGCATGTTTTAACTGATCTGGTACAGTTCCAGTGCTAAGACATTTATTTATAAGAGACAGCAAACTAGGTCCAAGCGTCTTTACAATCTGTTTTAAAAAATGTGGAGGGATCGTGTCATGCGGGGAAGCAGAAGGCTTTAAGTGATCTATGGTTTCGTAGAGTGAGGAAAGGGTAATAAGCTCAAACTCACTCCAGGTAGCTCAACAAATATGTGTGCAAACCAAAGGTGAAGTAGTCCTTGATAAGTTAGCTATTTTAGTAACAAAGTTACAAAGGAGTTTTTCACACAGGTCTGAGGATATCTCTGTAAAGGTCTGATTAGGGGGGTTAAGAACATCGTTGATAGTAGCAAAAAGAACAGCAGGTTTATGCTGGCTTTTGGCAATAACATTCAAAGAATATCTATGCCTAGCTACTCTTACAGCTTTCTGATAATTAGCCAATGACTCTTTTAAGAGTTCGTAAGAAATCTGAAGTTTGTCCTTTTTCCATTTTCTTTCGGCCTTCCTACAGATCTGACGAAGAGCGCGAATGTTACTATTATTAATCCATGGATGAGGGTTTGGTTTTATGGGTCTAGATATCAGAGGAGCAACCCAGTCCATAACATTTTAACAAATATTACTAAATATTGTTAAATGTTCTTCAGAGTTTAACAAATGTAAAGGTGAATCAAGTGATGCTGACATGCTCGCATCCTCAAAAGCTGTAATAAATTTGGCATGGGCCATAGAATCTATCCTATGAAATGTGCGTGATGTTGGCAATGCAATATAAGTTTCAATAGGGACAGAAACATTAAAAAGAACAGGTTTGTGATCTGAAAAATTAGTGTCATACCACAGTATCATTCACAGATAATCCATAACATAAAACCAAATCTAAAATATGGCTATTAACATGTGTGGGAGCAGTGACTACTTGTTTCAAATCAAAAGAATGCACGAGACTTAGGAAGTCCTTAGATAGCGGGATTGAGTCACAACACACATCAATAACAATAGCCTGTCATATTTTGGAACAATTGTCCCCAAAAAGTCCGCAAATTCATCCATAAAGTTTTTGTTAAAATTCGGCGGGCGGTATATTAGGGCCACTGCCACTGGATTTGCAGCGTTCATAAGAAACAATTGCAGTTCAAAGCTATTATAAACATCCAATGGCAAAGCACAAATGTTAAACTTCTTATTGAATATGGTCAGCAGTCCTCCCCCTCGCCCAGTAAGTCGGAGGGTATTGATATAACTGCAATAATTCAGCATTAGTTCTGAGAGGAGACTGATATTACACTCATTTAGCCAGGTCTCAGTCACGCATAGTATATCCAGTTCAAGGTCTTGTTTACCAAGGATCTGGCATTGATCAGCGCCAAATAAATAGACGGTACCTCATTTATCCGAACTGCTTCCTGGCATAGAGAGCGCAGGTTGTAGAAATGTACACCTCTGACATGTGATTTGGATGGGATATACACGGATGGGTCGCGTAGAGTTGTATACGTGGTCGGATAGCACCACACTTCGGCAAGGCGGACAGAGTCGGCATGGCTGTGTCCTCCTGTTAGTTGGCGTAAGCAAGGTTGTCGTACGCGAACAGCTTTCCAGAGGAGTTTGCGTTTAATGGCAGTGCCACCTCGCCTACCGCGTTTCCTACGACGTTTCCTTTTCGTAGTATCTCCATGCCACCGACGCAAGTAGGCTGGTGTATCCGACAGAACACAAGTGGAGAAAAGTAAACCCAAGGGCTCTGTAGAGCAGTCACAGTCCGGTCTTTGGTTAAACTTTTGGAGGTTGAGGAGTGTCAGGTGATCGTAGACTATTATGGGTGAACTTAAAAAATATAAAATAAGGACTAAAACAACTAAGTCCCGTGGGACATGAAGACGCCAAGCTGCAAGCAAAGGCGCCATCTTGAATCTGCATGAAACTTGACTAAAGTTGACTAAATCATCAACTTCGTATTCCTGAACTGCCAACACTGGCTCAGCCAATGGCATGAGCTGTGGCATGGCTATCTGTTTGTTTGACCAATGGAGCTGGGTGGACCTGTTTGGGAAACCTGTATGGAAACAGTTGTTAATTTAGTCATTCCATTTGTTGTGGCTCAGAAAAAATACAGGTAAGTTTTAAGATAAATTTGAAATTACTTGGGGAAGACAACTGTAAATACTGTTGCATACTATAAACTACCTTGAGTGAATCATGCAAGGTGATTTACTAAGGTTTGCGGTAGTCAGTCCCCGTGGTTCAGTTCCCCTATATATGAGTATATACAGTGAAGTTCTTTTTCGTTCTTTGCTTGCAAGTAAAAAGAAGTTGGAAATATATTTGCAGTGACCAGGGCTGGCATAAGCTCAACTGCCGCTCTAAGCGAAACGCTGTCGTGCCGTCCCCAATTCACATTTACAATTAAACACAATGTTTAAAATGCATGTGAAAGACTGGAGATTTTGTTTATTGATGCAATTGCAATAAAATAAAAGCATACACGAGCATTTCACGAGTATATAACTTTTTATACTGCAATGTAAAAAAAAACACTAGTAGGCTATAGCTGATCACATTCTGCATTATATACTCACTCCTGTTACTGTTACTCAGTCCCGTTACTCTTTATATGAGTAACAGGACTGAAAATAACAGGATTGAGATTTTGGGATAAAATGAGCAAATACATATAATATAGCCACATGGAGTATATGCTAATATTATGAGAATACTCAGCAAATTCTAGTGATTTACCAAAGACTTGTATTTTTAAAATAAATAACATCTAATAAATAATTCAGGTAACACGACAGTATGTTACGATTGACGTCAAATCATCAAATATACAGAAAAGAAAATGAGACCACTTACTTTAGGTCATTTCATTGCCTTCAGAAGATCCAGATGTTGCAATATCATGTTGAAAATGTGTATTGTGGAATTTCCTCAGTTTTTCAGAGGGGAGAATGTGTTAGGGTAACAGGACTGAGTGAAAACCTGGGCACACGACTACAATGTGTATTTTATCTAAAATAATAGCAATTTATTTGGAAATAGATGTATTTAAATCACAGATGGGATATGGAGGTACACAAAAATGCAAAATAAAAAAGATTTCTGAAGAATTTTAAACATATTTCATGTTAAATTGTAGAATTAGAGACTGGGGACATGTAACGAACGCTATCTTTAGGTAGTTTTTATAATTTTTTTAAAATATGTCTTAAATTTGCAGTTAGATTATGTATTTTATAGGTAATTTTCATGTATATCTGTACACATAATTGTCCTGGGGACAGATTCGGTGGAATGGCCCCACTGTCATTCGTTTAACATTTACACCTACCATTTCAGATAGATTTTTGAGCGCGTGACACTTGAGTGTGTGAGACTTCCGGTGTCATACGCTTCCAGGTATTTTAGCTGTACAAAAACAGCTCGTTATGCTGCTTTATTTAGGCTAACATTTACTACACTTGCTTCTTTTATTATGTGCCTATAGCGGCTAATCGTCAGAAGTCTTGCAAATCCACAGAAAATAGCGAGTCTAGTATTTATCATGTGGAGATTTTAAAAGACTATTTTAATGTGTTGCTGTTTTACTCACCCAGTGTGCTGGCCTTCTGTCTAATATCTTTAATCTTTTCAAAGACATCTTTATTCATCATTGATACCTTGTCAGCTGCTATGACGTAGACCAGGCAGTATGTCTGATCCTCAGGGCTTGTATTACTTCTGTAGTCCTCTTTGTTAGCAGGAACGGCTGGATTGAACTGAATGGAAAAGTAAAAGAGAAAAACAAAGAGATGAGAGGAAAGAGGTCATATATCTGGCCTCTTCAAATCAAGGATAAAAGAGGAAAGGCACTGTTTTATAATTCTGCAGTGTCAGTGCATTGTTTGAATAACATGTAAATAATTTCACAACGCCACTTTAAAACAGACAAAAGTTTCCTCCTCACATTGTGTCCTTCCTTAAGGAGGCCCTCGAGGGATTTGGCGATGTCTTCTGGATGAGCTCCCTGTGAATCTCCGGATTCTAAGCCCATGATGTCATTGAAGACAAAAGGCAGAACTGATTGTCCATCTCTTATGTAATAAGTTCTGTACTGTAGATAAATGCAGAAGTATAACAACAAAATAAACCATTTCAAATGTATTTGATATGGACACATACAAAAGCAACCAGCACATAAAACACGGCATTTGGATTGTTTCATGTAGATGGCTTCTTCTGCTTGTTGATGCAGAAGATATAGTAGTCATAGCTAGGGATTGGTGGCATAAATCCAGATGCACACTTCAGTAATTCACTCATTTTAAGAAATGCAACACATGTAATGTATCCTGGGTAATGATCCTACAAAGTTAATGTATTAAATGTCACGATAAAACAAATCTGGTTGCTTGAGCAGCATTTCAAGAGTGCTGATTTAACAGTTCAACAGCAAAGACTTTTCAGTGTTTGCATCACAGATACAGATAAAACATAAAATAGCTGGCAATATTATATCTGAATCAGTGTTTGCATCACATGGCTTGTCCGCGGTCGGTCTGGGCATTTGTTCAGCGCCTCATTCAACACAGCTGTTATAATGGTGTTATCGTGTCTTTGTTCGGAGCTAGTGTCGCTGGAGCAAAGAGAGTTAAAATAGCTGGCAATATTATATTTGAAACACAAGTTATCCAAAATTAACTTATTTTTTAAGTAAACTGTGACAGCAATATCATTCAATTGTGTTGCCTCAGTAGCATTTTCATATGTTTCTTTGTAGAGTGTGTAGCCTGCATAATTTAGTAAGCCATTTTATTTTAAATTAAAACATGTGGGTTCATATACTTACTGTTTTTGTAAAACTTCTGCCAGACACAGAGTTAGCAAGGGCTTCTGTTGTGATCCTTCCTTGAAAAACACTATTGATTGAGTTGATGAAGCTGGACTTTCCTGCTCCAACTTCTCCAGCTAGCAAGACCCTGACGTACTTAACATTTGAGTCGCTCAGCTTAACTTCCCTGCAGTGGTGGCTCGTGGGTTTTAAAATAGAGGAGGCACACTAATTGTATTGGTCTGGGATCCCTGCCTATTATTATTATTATTATTATTTGCTTAACCACTTTAAAATGGCTTTTTGGTTGCTTTTAGTGTGTATTTCGGATTACCCCTTTCGTCTTGCCGTTTGGACTCTGTTTGCCCCTGACTGGATTATTGCTGTGTACCTGGATTATCTCTCTTTGCCTTGCCCTGTTGGATATTGTTCACCGTCGATCGACCCACGCCCGTTTACTGGACTGCTCTTACGTTTTGCCCGTACCATATCTGTTCGCTGGTGCTTCGACCCTGCCTGTGTTTGTTGACCACGTCTTTTAAATAAAAGCTTGCATATGGATCCGCATACCTCTCGTCTCATCGGCTCCATTACATCTATGATGCTTGGTTGATATCAGAAGGAGGCTAGCCTCCCTTACGAGGCTTCATCAACACTCCTCAGCGCTGAAAGTAGTGATGTTTCGTTCGTGAACGAATCATTCTTTTTGAACGAATCTTTTAGGTGAATGAATCATTCTCGTTCACGTAATCCATTGACTCATATTTCTCGTTCACTGATATTCCTCCCTGCATGCGCAGATCAGTGAACCGGGTAGCTCTGTGGACTGTTTCATCCTGTCAAAGAATGACTAGACCTCGAGCCAATAGCCTTCAAGTTTGAGATGTGACAGAGCATGTGATTATGGCGTTATTTTAATGACAAATGTCGAGAGCGCATAATTGTAGTGCGAAAGCACATTAATACAATGCGAATCTCTCCGCTCTCGCGCTCAGATACATGCTGCTCTCGCCCGGAGAGAGTGCGCGCACTTAAAACGTGTCTCTCTCTAAAGACTTAATATAAAACATCAATGTTATGTCATAATATGTCGGATACCTCAACTGAATTTAAAATCATTGCAATAAATTCTCAGTTGGTATGATGGCAATAATAAGTAACAACTCCTCAAATCAACATCAAATGCAAAAATAGATGTAAATGATGCAAGATATAATACAATAAATGCTCTAATAGCATCGCTGTTTGGACATTTATTGGGAGTTTTTTTTTTTAATCCGGTGTTTGTTCAGTTCTGATTTTTTTTTTTTCATGAAAATCCACTTAATATTAGCTACACATTCAATGGCACTCTTCTCTAAAACAGTGAATATACAGTTATATGACAGTTACATGTTAATTACATTGTCTGCAAATGCATTAAGAGTTTTTCACCGAAGAGTTATTTGGAACACCAAAAACAAATGGTTCTTCTAATAGTTCATCTCTATGAAAACTCCCTTTTGGAACCTTTGTATATTGGCATATAAAACTGATAATGTGATATTCAGTAGCAGAACAACAAAGAGTTAAATAGCCTGCAGTTTATCATTAAGTCACTGAACAATTGAACAGCAAGGGGACATATGTATATATTTTCAACATTCACCTTCTTCCTAGGTTGTCAATGAAAGCCTGTAGACTGATTTTTATGTGAAGGTCTTGGGACATTTTTGCCATAAAAATCAAAACAATGTGATGTTTACACACACTCCTGAGAGAATCTCTTCTGTTCTATGACACATGAAACAAATGCTTATATAATGTTCAGTTTAATGTCAAAAGAGCTATTCTGTACTGTAATGTAAATGTCATGCAAAAAAATTTTAGATGAAAGAAAGAAAGTAAAAAAGATAATTCAAACTACAGTCTCACATAGCCAGATCTATATATTTTATAGTCTAACATGTACTACAGTGTAATTTGAATGACCTCATCTGTTGACTTGACGGTGGATTGCAGAGCTGGAGCAAACATGTCCATATCAGGATCATCAGATGGTTTCTTAACTGCTGGTTTCTCACCGCTGTCATCTCTGTTGTGTGTTTATTTTGTTTTTGAGAGTAAAGCACGCAGCACATTTACATATTCATCTAAACGCCACTCTCATCAGCATGGATGGCGTCTGGATGTTTGTTAACAGTATGCCACTGCCAGGGCCGGCGTGTGCCTATAGGCGAACTATACTGTAAAAACTCTTTTTTCATTAAAACAGTCAAATCTCATAGAAAACAATGCATTCTGGTTAATATTTGTTGTTTTTTGAGAAAGTAGCCTTCTGCAGTATACTGTGAATTAACTGCGTTCAGAGTCGACTGTGTCTGAAATCACACCCTACACCTTCATTCACTATTTCCTACATGAGTTTACTCGTATAGTCCACTTGACAGAGAGAAAGAAACAAATGAGTGACTTCAGACTCTGATGAACAGCTGCTGTTAACAAGCAGAACCACTGAAGGAAAGAACAAGAAACAAAACTACAACTGACATACAGCCACAGCCAGAGATGAAAGCAGCAACTCCACAAACAGCATTACCAGCTTATTGACTGTAACTGTGTTTGTAAAGCACATTTGTTAACTGGTCCCAACAGCCTGCAGCTGAGGCTCCCTGTCAGAGGGCAAACGGTGCACACCTGTGTTGGATCTATCCCTGGTCCTGAACATCACTGGGTAACCTGACCTTGTGTCCTACTCTGATGGTGCGCTCCATGGTGCTGAAGGTGACTGTGCTGGGTTGTGAGGGACCATGCTTCCTTCTGGCCCCCGCAATATATATATATATGTATATATATATAGTAAAGTTTAAAAAGGATATTGGTTTTAACTGTTCTTTTTGTAATACATTGACTAAAACGTTGTATCATTTATTTTGGCACTGCTCACATGCAAGGAAATTTTGGAAAGTTTTGATAACAGACTTTTTTAATAAACCCAGACTTTGTTTTTGGTTCTTGAAAAGGAAATTCTAATATATATCAAGACTATTTTTCATTCTTACAATAGGGGTTATGCGCAACAGACTTCCGTATTCTGTTAACCGGGTCTCGTCGCTTCCGGTTCAAGCTCTTAGCATATCCTTCGTTAAATATTAAGCAGTTTTACTCAAGATGCCTTCAAAGTAGATACCAATGATGATCATAACCAATGTCCATCACATATACGGACTGATATCTAAAAGTTTTTTTTATTATTTTCACTAACATTTAGATATAAAAATTGAATAAAACGTCATCAATAAAAACAGCTAGCTAGTTTAACTGATTATCTTAAAAGTCCATAGATATGGCTATTATTTAATACGGCTGTTAACACATTCTCTGACAAGCGGAAGTGATGAGACCAGGGCTGCGTTCAGCCCCGACAAAACGGTGCAAAACGTGTTTTAAACGGAAACGGTGATGCGTTGAACACTGTTCTGATGACGCAAGAGTTGCAGCTATGGCAGCTGAGAAGGCCATTCTTTGTGTTCTTAATATACTTGCTCTTGTGGATTTATTTTGATGTTAATTACATTGTGGGAGCTGTCTCTTTAATACCGCGTGGTTTATATACATGTTGCTGCTGATTGGGCTGACATGTGTGACACACCCACCAAACAATAGAAAAGCATCTCAAACCCCGTTGCAGGAAACATGTCGTTCAAACCGGAAACCGTAGCAAAACGGTGCACACCGGTTTGAGCTTGAACTTGCCCGTTTTCCGGATTTGGTCAGGTGACGTTTGACATATACCCTATAAGAAAGCAATTAAGACAGTTTCTATATGCGAGTTCTTTCATATATTTACTTCCTTAGCCTACCCCCTGATTCTAGGGATGGGTAGATCGACACCTAGTGTCGACACACGTTTCGAGTTTTTGACACACTAGTGCTTCGAAACAGGGATGGGCGTATCGATCCTAATCGATA